TAGGTTCTATAGTAAAGTCGCAAGTTCCATGTTCAAACCCAAGAAATGAATACAACTCGCAAACTAACGTGCCAAATGGAACCCAAGTCAATTCACACTAACTTCGTACTCTTGAATACAGTCACTCTATATCTCAAAGTTGCCTCAGTCCGTACATTTAAAATTGGCTCACTCTTCTTGAAAGTCAAGAATTTTAAAACATAAGAAAAGTATTTAAAGTAATCAGAAATCTTATCAAGTTCAAGATTCACAATGTTAACCATAAGCTTGCCATTCTTTCAAAAATTCAGGATATATATATATTTTCTTCGTGTAAAGCATGGACAATTTCAAGTGTGAGACTACACTAATATACAATCAAGGGGAAAACTTAGTTTAGAAATTGTTATCCTGGTATTAACCCATCATATACAAAATTCAACAACTCATCAGTTATTCACTAATTTTCAAATTTGAAATTCAAGTAAAATTCACCTTTTTACCAAAATCAGGAAAATATACATATTTAAAGCATATATATCTTATTTCCACTCATCGCTTACAAATAAAACTAGTACATCCTAGTTTTTCTTCAAAATCCCAAAACAGAATTTCTTTAGAAGGTATGTGGGCGGAAAATGCATTTAAACACATTACACGTACACATAGCCCACATAACCAGGTTAAGCAATCATACGGAACAGTCAGTCAATTACATACGAAGTCATTGCATGAAACAATAGGGTCCTCAAAAGTACTTTGAACAACTAGGTCACAAGTGCAAAAGAACTCACGAAAAGCTTTTCCCCTTCTAGGGCTTCGTCCAAATATTTATATCTTAAGCAAGGTCGATCACGCTTAACCATACCCAAACAAACCACACGAAGTTCCATAGAATCGCCTTTCTAGTTCACCAAATCTTTTCTAACCTAGGCCCTCATATCCTTCGTATCCGGGCGCAAGAATCTTGTCTAAGATAGTTCACATCTCGAGCCGGCCGGTCCCAAGAGTAAACCATCTTTATTAAAGATTCCTACCCGACATACATACCTAGCTTCCTCGAGTCCCATGATAATGATTCGTACACTTATCACATGCCCGGTTCATAACTTACGCTCAAACGAGCACTTAAACATATTCATGAAATTAGGACCACAACACCACTTGGCCCAGTCTCACTCCGCGCAGAGACCACGCGAACCTGGCTCTGATACCACTTGTAACAGCCCCACTTTCCCCTAAGGCGAACCAAAGGGGTTAGCGGACTGCCTGCCCAGCTCTCGCCAGGACTACGGATTAGTTAACGTCGATCTAATGCGCTCCGGAGCTTACCAATGCGCGCAAATAGGTCAAAATCACAAAATAAAAAAAACGAAAATCGAAGCCGCGATGAACAGTAGAGGACACGTCAGAATCCGGCCGGATTTGGCCCTTTCCTTTTTCAAAATTTTTTTTTTCTTTTTCCGTTTGAAACGCGTATCAATTCGAAATCCAACCAAGCATCGACCAAACATATATATACATTGGAAACCAACATTTGCAAGCCAAGACGGCATATCAAATATTCAACTAGTTCATACATGTACAAATAACCATTTACAAGCCAACCATTGGTTGCAACAAAACACTTAGGGTTTTCACCCTCAAGGAGCTATTCAAAATATACATTCACATGAGCTCAACTTGAACCAACTAGCACATTCTTTCCAAAAGTGGTCATTTTCCTGTAAGGAAAACAAATGGCACGGTATGAGCTAAAGCCCAGTGAGCAACTATCACACAAAAGCAGTCAACATCACATAATCATAACCGTTCAGTTCAAATATGCAATTAAGAGATAAATCAAACCAGTGAAAGGATACGGTTGGCTCTCAAGAGCCCATTTCCACACTTGCAATCTTGATCCAACCTCATTGACCCTCCGTCAATGTTAAAAGTACCAAAACCGTAGACCTCACTTTACTTCCTTTCCTTCCACCAATCATACCCCAACCGGGCCCGCACTTCATTCAGTCACTTTTGGTAATACTCGAGTATACCGGAACCAAGAGTCTCATTACTACAAGGTTCCTCAGTACAGTCCCCGTGGCAAGACAATTTTCACGACCAAGCCCTCGCCGGCTCGATCCAATTGACTACCAAACGGGGTTGAGCTCAGTGATACAGTAAAGCCGTTGGACATTCATCCAAACGACACCAAATCAGTTTCCATGAGTGGAATTCAGTATTTCATATAACCAGTACAATATTTCAGTAAAACAGTCAATAGCCATGAATAAAATCACAAGGGGTGAGGGCGGTCAAGTACACCCTCACCTTAATCACTTCCAATAAGCAAATAAGCCTTCAAGGCATCAATTACACATATAACAAAGCCACATTGTAACATTTAAGTGAGTAGTATACTCACAAATCAAATAAGTGCTATTTCATGCACTTCCGTCAGGGGAATGTCGTGAACCACCGTCACGCCCTAGAACAAGTGAACAAATGCAATGAGACTCGATAACGAGTCATATAGCAATGCCAATCACAACCCCAATAGGGTTTTATAAACATATACAAGCATGATAGCAAACCAGGAATTAAGAAAGGCCTTAAACTTAGGCCTTGGAAAGAAAACCGGATTCGACCTCATAATGCGGTAATGGCACAACTCTCACTAAGATTATTGGATGGGGGTGTAAGACCCACCGCTTCGAAGCTATGGAACAGGGCTACAACAATGAAGAAGGTCACTCAATCCAGTTCCTAGCTTAAATAGGTCGAAAATGCCAAATACTATACCAGAATTACCAAAACAGGTTTGCAAATCACACAAAACTGTAATTACTATAACTTAGTCTATACAAGTCGAAATGCTGAAATTCCAAAGGCATATGTTAGCTAAGACATCCAGATACATTTCATCAGAAGACACCAACAACTAAATTCAAACCAATTCCAGTCAAAATGGCCAATAACCAGTACAGTTTTCGCATTCTGTCCAAAGCAGAACAGCTACAGTAATTTCGTCATAACTCATTCCACATTAATCCAAATGACCTGAAATTTTACAGGCACCTCAAACACATCAATACCTAAAACTTTCATGTTTTGAGCAAAGTCAAATTCGGCCTCTAACCCTATGATCCAAAACCGGACAGAATTGGGGATTTAAGAACCCTAACTTTTCAGTTTTCATTCCAAATCCAAAATTGGTTGCATTTATCCACATTTCACACCCACTAGAGTTATTATAGGCCATTGCCAATCATCACAAACAACCACACCATCATAATCCAATTAAACCAGAAAAATCATCAATAAATGGAAAACTTCACCAAATCACTTCAAGTCAAGATAAAACCAGAAATTTCAGCACTTTAATCACTAATAAGCATAACTTAAGCATCATTAGATGTAGGAGGAAGATACACACACCACTCACCTAGTAACAAGAGAGGTAGAGGTGTTGGACACCTTAGCTCTTCCAAAAACTTCACCAAATCAACCACTAACACCAACTAGAAAGATTTTATGGAATAGAAACTAGTTTAGTTGGTTGAGTTATGGATTGAAGCAAGAAGAAATCAAGACTTGAAGAGGTTTTCTTCCTTCCTTGAACTTGAGAGAGAGGGCCGGCCAACAAGAGAAGAAAAATTGTGAATTTTATGCAATTTTTGGATATTTAATCCTTTGGTCAAAAAGTCAAAATTGTGAATAGTAAATCTTAAAGGAAAACCAATAACATGGTGACACTTGTCACTCTATTTAATGCATTCTTATCACTTCTTTTCTCTCTCACATCAATCACTTCACACACTCTACTTATCTCTTAGCACCCGATAAATTTTACACAGTATCCGAAACTTAACCGTATTGGCCGAATTTTTCCGAACTTTTCGCACTAGTGGGTCCCACGTCCAATATATATTCTTAATTTTCTAAAAACTCACCAATGCTAGAAAAATCATCTAAAAATTATAATTGCTCATAAAATCCACCCAGATAATATTTCCAAGCCAGAAATGCAAAAATTATGCAATTAAGGGAACTAAAACCCTAGGAAAATAATTAGGGTTTTTACGGGTTCTCACATGTTGTAACCTGTATTATAAGCTGCAAAACGATAAGTTATTTTGTGTTGTTAAATCACGCGCTAAAATATGTGAGTTTCTCTGTTTGTTTTTCTTTTTGAATAAAAGCTGTATTCAAAATCAGGAGATAGTTGGAATCTTGAAATGGTGAATTCTAAATCGACTTGTCTTTATGGATAGATTGAAATAGAATGCTAAGAAACAAAGGATGGATCTATTTTATAAATGGGGTGACCAACTCATGTTTAAAATTAGAAAATATGTATTTATAGAATTGTTTTTTCACGAGCGAAAGTAGGGTCCGTTTGGATTGAGTGTTTTTGCGCCTGTTTTTGAAAAACTGTTTTTCACATTCCAAATACTACAGTAAATGTATATTTCAAAAACACCATATCCAAACAATATATCAAAAATAACTCCAAATATATTTCAATTATGCATATTTAATTTGTATATTTTAATAAGTATATTTCAATTTGTATATTTTAATTATGTATTTTAATATGTATATGTCAATTATATTTTAATATATTCTAATTATATATTTTAATATGTATATTTCAATTATGTATTTTAATATGTATATTTCAATTATGTATATTATATATAAATTATATTAATATTAATGTATATTATATATATTATACATTTCTAATATTATATATTTATACATACATATTATAAATATTTTATTCTATTTAAAATATGTTTTTATATATTTATAATATATTTACATAAATATTATATGTTATATAAATTATACATAATATAATATATAATATATTTTACATTTATATAAATGTACATTTATACATAATATATACATATTTATGTATATTTATAATATACATTTATATTATGTATTATATATAATATAATACATTTATCATACATTTATACATTTATATTACTATATATGGGTAAGTCCGAAATCCAGAGCTCTTCGGGAAGGGGAGGGGTCGTCAGCCGCGTCAGATCACCGCCTGGCGTGGCGTCCACAATCCCATACCTGGGTCCCACCTGATGACGCAATCCACCGCCTATCGGCGTTGCCGGAAATGAATATATTTCTCCGAAAGAGGAGATATAAACAATAATATCCCAACGACGTCACCAGTCATCCCCAGCTAGCAGTAACTTTCACCTCTTCAATCGGTTCAGCTCATACTCTTCTTGACTACACTGCTCTATAACCAAGCAGATTTTGATATTTCAATTTTCAAGTAATTTTCCACCATTTCCGCCTGATTGGAACCTCCGAGAGAAGTGGCTATGGCGATCGCCAACGCTTTCTTCAGTCCTGCTGCTACTGCTACCTTAGCACCTGTTCGATCCAAGTTGTCCCATTCCGATTGTGACTTCTCTGCTTCTCACTTGAATCTCTCCTTTTCCACCTCCTGGTCTAAACTCACCCGCGGGTTATTTCATTCCGGAATCACTACCAAAAAGAATATTAGTTGTGCTTCAATCGATGGTGTGGAATCAGTTAGTTCAGCCTCATTGAATTCAGAGAAGGATAGAGATGGTATTCCTATGCCTATTGTTCTGATAGATCAAGATTCTGACTCTGATGCAACAATAGTACAAGTTAGCTTTGGCGATCGTCTTGGTGCTCTCATTGACACGATGAAGGCACTAAAAGATCTTGATTTGGATGTTGTGAAAGGAACTGTTAACACTGAGGCCTCAGTGATAGAAACAAAATTTTTCATCACACGTCTGGCAAGTGGACGCAAAGTTGAAGATCCTGATCTTCTGGAGAGAATTCGTCTTACCATTATCAACAACCTGCTGAAGTATCATCCAGAGTCTAGGTGTCTTGCAATGGGTGAGGCTTTCGGAATAAAAGCACCGACAAAGAAGCATGATGTTGATATTGCTACTTGAAGAAGCGCTGAGCTTCCCCGGACCGAGCTGATTCGACTAGCTCGGCGTGCTGATGGAAGAGCTGATCCTAAGCCTGCAAAACAGATAAGAATGAACTAGCAAAGGGGGCCCGAGGTGTAGACACCAAATTTTTGGTGTAATTTCATTTACTGTTTATTTTTATTTTTTTATTTGTCGTGTTAGTTTTATTCGATTTTTAGTTTTTAGTTTATAGTTTTTAGTTTATTTTTAAATTTTTAGCATAAAATTTCTTGGAAAAAAAGAGAAAAAGGAAAAATGAATGAAAAAAAAAGAGAAAAAGGAAAATCATGAAAAAATGAAAAAAAGAAAAATCATAAAGAAAAAGTAAAAAAAAAAAAGAGAAAAGCGTTCAAAAAATATGTTGTAGTTGTTTCAGATTTAGTTTCATTATTTAAAAATGAAAAAATGATGAAAAATTGAAAAATGAAAAAAAAGGAAAAAGAAGAAAGGAGAAAGAGGAAAATCTTAGCTTTTTATCTTTTGGTTATTAATTTTATACATTTTATATAAGTTTAAGTTTGTTTGAATTATTATTTTGTTTTTATTGTTATTTATATTATACTTAAAAAAAAAAAGGAAGCATGCAAGCTGCGTATTTTGGCAGCTTGCAAAGAAGAGTGGTACATGCCCATCGGATGGCCAAGATAAGAGGCTGAGAGGAGGTTGATTGCTGGCCATTGAGAGCAGGGTTTAGGAGGTTGGGGAATTGATATAAAAAGAAAAAAAGCAGCAGCCGCAGGAAGAGGAGAGGGAGCGAGAGAAAAACTTCAGGGGGGGAGTGAAAAGAAACGGGAAAAGAAAACAGAATACAGAGGAAAGATTGAGGAGGACGGCAGGGAGAGAACCGAGAGCTCTGTGAAGAAAGAGTGAAAACAAAAAGGGGAGGCTGAGTGAGATTGAGAAGCAACGACAAGGAAAGGCTAGAATCTCTGGCTCGCGTATGCTCCACCGAAATCTGCAACTTCATCTCCTTCGACGTCTGGTGGAGCGAGTGGAATTTCTTGCGAGTGTCAGCTGCAATCTCAAGCCCAAAGAGCAGTAAAGAGTGGTTATGCTAAGATTTGAGGGTTGTATGAGATAGAACAACTGGGGTTCTAGGGACGAAAGGAAAGTAGCTAAAGAGAAAAACAACGGCTAAGGAGAGGATGGTGGCTGCGGAACCTGGGCAGTAGGGAGAAAGCCAGGGAAAGAACCAAAAGAAGCGAGAGAAGAAGATTGCGATGGGTTTCGGCTGTGAGAGCAAGGGGAGGTTACGGGGAGAAGAAAACTGAAGAAAAAGAGAGTCTTGGACAAAGGAAATCTGGGAAAATTGGGAGGAAAGTTCGTGAAGCTAAGAACAGGAGCAAGAGGACGGCTCGGCGAAGTAGCAACCTTTGTAGAAGAGGTTCTTGATCACGGTTTTGGGAGCCCGTATGCGCTGCTGGGCATATTTCAAGGTCGCTCAACCGGGCTAGCATTCTCAGGTAAATGTTGGTTATTTGGTGGATTTTAACATGTTTTTACGAATGACAAAGCCATCAGTTTTGAATCTTTTTGTTTCAATAATTGAGTCAAGCTTGCTGGTTCTATGATTCTGCTGTTTTGCTCATTTGCTAAGGACTGATTCAGTAGAAATCCATGAGATGAATCTGATTAAGTACATGGGTTTAGGATTTTCTATAATGGCTGTCTAACAAATCCATGAGTTGCTGCCAAATGTTTACAACTTATCTTGGTGTTCGAATGGACAAAACCAGAAAATTGTGAAAAAGACTTTCGGCTTTATGACTTTCATCGTGTTTGGATTTCAAATGTTTCCCTGGTTGCCGTTTCTTTTATGTCTTGCGACGTTGATGATGGGTTTTAGCACATTAAATCATTCCCTTAGTATGTTAAACTCACGTGAGAAACCAAAATGTTGCTGCTTTCTCCTCGTTGCTGGCGGCTCTGCAGCTACTCACCAAATTTGGAATTCCTTTACTAGTTAAATATTTTGACTAAGTGTTTAATGATGAGGTTGTATGTGTGGGTCGAAGCTATCAAGGTCTTTGTGTCAACTTCAGATGAGTTGGGGCTGTAAAGGTTACAGCAGTTTTATATATTTCGTTTTGAAGTAAGTTGGGCTGAATGTTGTAGCTAAGATTTCAGTAAAGAATGGTTTTCCTGGACTTTGAAATTTGTATGTTTGAGTGTTGGATGCTGTGATTTCCTTGTTTATGATCGAGGTTTGATGTTTGATAGAATGGTAGTTATGTTGGGATGGATAGTTTCCATTGGATTAAGCCCAGCCATGGTAAAAAAAAAAAACCAAACCTGAAAATTGTAGCAGGAAATTGGAAACGGCCGAAGGCTTAATTTTTTTTTTTTTTCACTTTGAATTTGATTTACCTGTTTGTTGATGTTAGATTCATGCTTTAATGTTTTGGTTAGAAGATTTGTCGATCAAAGTGGTGTTAGTGTTGAGAAGATGAAAGCTGCGGTTTTTTCTGGTTTGCCGATAAGCTGCAAAGTTGCAACAAGAAAATTGCAGAACATTTTCCAGATTTTTGCATGCTCTTTACCTCTATTTTTGCATTGAAACATGAGAATTGGGTAGTTAAAAAGTGGAAGAAATGTGTGGTTATCTTCTCACTTTGATCTTTGGTTTAGTTGATTGGAGCCATTACTTGTGTTAGGATGGATGGGAAATTGCATTTGAGAAACTCAGCAGATGCTTCAACCTTCTTGTTGCAGAAACATTTCGTAGCATTTGCATGCATTCTGCATGAATAAGTTACAGAAATTTGCACTTTGATCCCTTGGCTTCTAACTAATGCTGCTATGACCCAACCAATTGAATAATTTCATCAATTTGGTCCTTGGCAGTTTTAACTTTTTGTGATTTCATTGATTGCTTTGCTTCAATTAAATTCCATGCTTTGTCAATTGCACTTAAGTCATGACTTTATGGGCCTTATGACCGAATGAGCTCGTGTTTGTCTATCTTCTTTAATTCCTTCAAATAAATTGGTACATTGACCATTTCTTTTATTTTGGAGGGTAAATAAGTGGTTTCACTCAATTTAAGGCATCAACTCAAGGGAGGTATAACTCCTTTTATCTTTTTCCCGTCGCTCCTATGTGATCCAACGTGCTACGTGAAAATTGCATGTCTAATTTGCTTTCATTGCCTTTGCTTTAGACCCTTTCATTTCATTTATTCTTGCTTTATTGAGTTATTCTTTTAATGGGGTATGTGTACACCTCTTGGCTTGTAATAGATAGGGCTTTGGCGAGCAATTTGGTCCATTCTCCCTCTTCCCCCTTTTGTTTTAGTTAGTGAATGTAATAGGTTCATTAGCTTGGTTGCATGCCTATGTGTTACGTGTTACTTGCTTTATTAGGTTCTTGCATCTAGTCGAGCATGCTAAGTGTTAGGTGCTACGTGTTTATGAATGTTTGGCATGTCTACTTGCTTTCCATGGCCTGAATGAATGTGATGGATGAATGCACGTTTCCACTAGTCCAACGCTAGTCGGAATTCATAGAATGGGCTAGTCCAACGCTAGACCCTTAGAGATTTCTCCTCGTTAGTACATGTCCGCATGTTCATAACATGTCATGCATTCTTTTTAGTTTTATCATTTTGCATGCCCCTCGAACCCCTTTTCCCTCCATTTTAGGATTTTTGCATTTCATGCTAGTTATAGGGTTCATTTGCTTGAGAGTCCCCTTAAATATGGGATATAGACGAGCGTGGCTTTTTCTAAGCTTTAGCACGCTTGTATTCCCTCTATAAAATGGCAAATTGAGTCACGATTTAGGTCTCCCCGTACCCAATATGCATGAATTCCCTAGGCTCATGCATTTTTAAATCCACTCTACCATTTTATACCCTCATCACACTTTCATTTTTCCTCCCATTTTGCACACGTGCACCTTTATGTTTCTTCACTTGCACACGAACACTTTTATCATCACTTGCACACATGCACTTCATATTATCATTTCACATACCGTACCTTGCCCACTCACGTGCACACTTTCACTTACATATTTATTGTCTTTTATTACTTTTTCAAACTCATATCCTCACATTGCATACATGCATTCCATTCATTTGCATCCCACTCGCATTATTCGTGACTTCTTCAAAGGATCGTTATTGGGCTTCACAATTAATGTGATTGGCACCACTCAACCTTTGAAGAGAAATTTCCCCCAATACCCCTAGGTCTAGGGTTTGCATTCATGTAGTACATCCAAATGTAATAATTTCTTTGGTTAAAACAAGAAAATCTTTGATTAAATCACGCAACTAGCCTTGGCTAGGTCGAAGGGGTGCCTTGGATTTTTATCCTTGCCTTCCCCTTCGTCAAATGTGACTCCCGAACCTTTTTCGTTGGTTTACGTAGACTAGGAGTCGTTTAAAAAGGGTTTCTCACTACTTTTTCCTATTTTTCTTTAAAAATACATTTTTTAGGTGACTTGGTACACCTTAACTCATTACCAAGTGGCGACTCCGTATTTAGTTTTAAAAAACCCTTTTTAAACTATAATTTTGGGTCAAATCGTCGCATTCTCAAAACCCCATTTAGACCCATTTTTCTTTTAAATCACGATTCATTTTCCAATCACAAAAATACATTTTTTTAAACCATTTATTTATTTATCAAAAAATGGGGCGCGACAGTTAGCGACTCCACTGGGGAAATTCGAGAGTCCGAGCAAATTTGATTTAATCAACTTTTTTCTTCTTTTAACCTTTTCATATATCACATTTGGGTGTTTTAGGGTTGCATTTTTCCCTTTTTTTAGGATTTTGCATTTCACGCGTATCCAACTACTCCCTCGCTCGCGAATGTATGTTTGGTTGATTGGATGTATGTTTACTTGCTTATCTCGCGCTTGCATTGCATTTGGGTGGGGGACATCACCTTAGAGCCTCACGTTGGTTCTCGATCCCTCCCCTCCAAACGAGCACTAGCATACGTGCATACGCTTTAATTTTTTCATCCCTC